AGGTAAGAAACATAATAAATATTCTACAACACCACTAATTCCTGTTTTCCTTTTCAGAGATCGGTGAGGCATTATTACGGACCACATATGAACAACATGAACACCCGGTTATCTATACGATATGAATTTATCCTTCGAATAAAAAAATATTAGTATAACTCGCTTCAGTTCATGATTAGGTACTGTAAGTTGAATATGGTTCAAGTTGACCAAGTGCATAAGCTACACCTGGAAAGAAATAGCATTTGATAAAGATGGAATAATGCATGGCAAAAGAAAATGCTATACACTCTTTGATACAAAAACTGTCGACCATTCACAGACCTCAACTGACACTGCATGACAATTAGACTGTGATCAAAAAAAACCAAAAAAAATATAACAGTAGCATGAAACTCTTTAGCAAAGGAGGCCAATATGATGAAAATGAAAGGAAAAATAAATTACGGGCGATCTGAGTTCGGTAAGTGGGAGGAGGTGGATTTTCAATGGTAAAACATGCTTTACCTCGATTTCCGGCAAAACTACAAGTCCTATGGAAAAAAGTTAGATAGCAAAGTTGTAGGTAATAAAAAGATCTACAACTTTTGTTAAAACATTCATCTTGTCATTCATAAATACCTTATCGTCTCCAATATTATTTCCAGTCTGTATTGGTTTTTCATCCACAATTTTTTCTGAATTATTAACTTCCTCGTAGGTTTTTTCTTTCATATTGGAGCAATTTTCAGAACCATGACAGTTTGAGCATAAATTTGTGCATTTTAAATCATGTTTTCGACAGCCATATTTTAAAACTGTTACATCCAGTTTCACAGCTGCAGCAAATAGTTTTGAGCAATACTATCGAAATTAATTTCTTTTCTGTAAATTTGGGCATAATACCACGTTGGTGTTGCTTCCAGTCCCAATCTGTTGCTGTCAGTTCGTTACCCAAGCAAGTTTGAAGCTGATAATATGCCCTGTAACAATGTTGTTCTGCTGCTCCTTCTGTGGGTGGGAGGTTTGCCAAAATGAAAGATGATGTAATTTTCGTCAATTGATATCTTTGAAATCCTAATTGATTCACCGTTATTTTTTCATTTTTACATTTATAAATGTATTTGAATAATTGTAATCCATTTCCTATATCTTCTTTACTTTCATCTATCTTATAAAAACATTAGGCAAATTTGACAATTTTTTTAGCGTCTAATAATGAATTTACGATTCTTTTTCTCCTTTTCCGGCAAATCCAGATGTTGAATCGTAACAGGAAAAACAATGCAGAAATGCAACAAAATTTTTGAAGGATTCATCTTTGAAACTATTAGACGTGAAAAATATATCCTTTACATTTCCAAAACCTGTTGTGAGAAAATAAATGTCATGATTATTTGCGTTTAATTGATTTAAAAGGACCAAAAGATCAATATCTTGACCCACAACAATGACAGTTTCATTAGTATCTCTGGCAATTTCTATCGAGGTCTTAATTATGTCAGCATCAGCATCTTCTTCTACTTGTTTACAGGAAAACCTTTTTGACTGTAATCTTTTCATTGAAGTTTTTATTATTTTGTCCTTGTTTTTCTCGTTAAATAAAATTGTTTCTTACGAAAAAGGTATGTTTGTATAGTTTTGATAATCAAACTCTGATATATGGTCTGAGGTTTCTCTACGACTAGGTCCTCTTCTTTTAGTTGAAGTAGCTGCTGGTACTGTTGTGACAGTAACTGATTTCTCAATTTCGGGGTACTCATAGACAATATAGCTGCTTGCTGCGTAATGTTTTTCTACATAGCGTAAATATTTATTTCATGATCTCTTCCACCGTTTCATTTTTCTGCCAAATTATTTTGTGCAGTAAAAATCCACCGTCGATGACATGCACTATGCCGTCAGGATACGTTGGTCTATTCACACTTACAAATAATTCGTAGAGTTGAGACTTTACATTTTTTCCTGGCGCCATTTATGTGAAAAATGACAGTGGAAAAAGTGCAATCTCGTATTGTAAATCAGTTTCCATATCTTTTTTACTGTCGATCGTTAACGATATCCTTTGAAATAGCAATATTGGATCGATGGCTATAATGTCTCCATTTACTTTAACGGAAGATTGAACCGTTTTTAGAGACAAGACTTTGTTTTTCTTTCTTAATGGAAATACCTTTCAATGGGCTGAAATTTTCCGTAGGTTAGGTCCAAAGTGAGTGGGTCTATTCGACACTCCTCCGCAACCCGCAAGGGTTTATTGTGGCTCACACCTATTCTCACTCGGACAAACAAACCCAGCTTCTTAACGAAGCCGATTAGTTTGTATGGTTAGTGGTCTTTCAGGTCAGATGGTAAGAGTACGGCTCTGCCTAACTCTAAAGACCTTATTCGGTCCCCAGCGGGGCAGGCACGAAGTATATGCTTTGTTAATGAGGTAGTCGGATAGTCAAGTTGCAAGATTCCCACCTTGATACCCACGACAACCTTCCCATATGAAGGTTTTTGCACATCAGCTACACCTGACGATGCCTTAGATTCAGCCGTGCAGGGTTTTTTCGCCTCTGGTTTTGGTGAGACCTCACTTGAGCGCAAACGTTTGCTAACCTGCTCATGGGGGGTTAGTTCCCCCACCTGAGACAGATTATGCGTACGCCGCAGCTCTCGCTCTTGAACTAACTTTACACGGAGGTCAATTGGAGTCGTAAACTCGACATCCATCTCCTCTGTAGACTTGCTACTGAACTAAATTTACAGTGAGGTCCGTTGGAGTCATAAACTCGACATCCATCTCCTCTGTAGACTCGCTCCTGAACTAAATTTACAGGGAGGACAGTTGGAGTCGTAAACTCGACATCCATCTCCTCTGTAGACTCGCTCCTGAACTAAATTTACAGGGAGGTCAGTTGGAGTTGTTAACTCGACACCCATCTCCTCTGTAGACTCGCTCTGAACTAAATTTACAGAGAGGTCCGTTGGAGTCGTAAACTCGACATCCATCTCCTCTGTAGACTAGCACCTGAACTAAATTTACAGGGAGGGCCGTTGGAGTCGTAAACTCGACATCCATTCCGTAGGTCACTCAGGTATATACATTATTTCAAAACAGCAATAAATAGGCATCTACAAATATCATTTAAAGGAGATTCTACAACCTTCTCAAAATATTGTAGATGTCTTATTAAATATTAACTTATTTGTTTGTTAATTATAGTAGTATATTTCGATAAATTGATGGATGTAGCCGTACTACGACTACTACGTGGTAGGAGATCATAATGAAAAGAGAAATGAAAATTTCTATGTGTTTTACCACTTTTAATTGTTTAATTGTACCGTTACTGCAGTTTCGTCCTATAAGGACATTCTCAAACTAGTACAATAAACTAACAATGATTCCTTACATTCGCCAATATATACCATTCAGGTACTTGATTGAGTACCTGAATTTACAGTTCACAATGCGGATGTGCCAATTAGAAAACCGGAGAGTAAATTAAATCGATTTGATCATTTAACAGGTTGCACCCACAATGTTTATGCTTGTAAATTTCGATTTTCAAATTTTTCGTTTGTCAATGTAACATAGAATCTTACGTTTTTTGAGTAATTAAAGTGTAAATTTTAATAAACAGGAAAATACAAAAGTAGAGATTTCAACGAACAAAAAGCACACCGACTTTTTGATTGAAAATTAGAGTACTCTTTCGATATTAGGTCAAAATAAGGTGAAAAATAAATATATATTTGAAATCAAATAAATTACAGTGCATTGGGACATAAAAAGGTAAGTTTTCACCAAACTTCTTATCAATTTTTTTAAGATAAAAATAAAAAACCAAACACTTGGTTATTTGAATTTTTCACATACATTTTGAGGTTATACGAAGAAATTGTGAATACAAAAGTTGTAGATCTTTTTATTATCTACCTACAACTTCACCAATGAAATTTTTTCCATAAAACTTTTTACCCTTAAAATCTCACACTCTCTCACTTCCCAAAGTCAAATCACCCGTAATTTATTTTTCATTTCATTTTTATCATATTTCCCTCCTTTTCTAATTAGTTTCATCCAACTAATATTTTTTTTTTTCACTTTTGACCATTTTTTAAGGCTTCAGCCCTGGTCTAAATTGAGAATGTCAGGCTGGTTTACATTCACTTACAACATATTACTCGCAAATTATTATGAAGGGGATATCTTAATAAAGATGCATAAAAACCGTGGCGTTTCAACATATTCGCTTTCGTTTTGTCAAAAAGTGTAGAAATGAGATTGACCTCGTTTTGTACACATGTTGATAGATGGAGCAAGAATCGAAATCTGTCGCTCGTATTTTATTCTGATCTTCAATTGATGGAACATAATGTAGGAAGTCCTAAATTTGATATCAATTTATTCCCAAATGTAAGTAACATTGAAAATTAAAATACCAATTTGACATTGTCAAGCAATGTCACTCTTAAATGTACTCAACATCTCGGGAGGGTGAAACTCATAGGATCTCTTCATAATTTCTTACTCAAGAATGCCGTGGTCGAGAGTTTGTGACAAAATATTTTACATGAGGAAAGAGTCCCAGTGATCACACTAGGGATACTTCGTATCAGAAAGTTTTTTCTTCTAGTACTTATTACATTGTTCAATGAGAAATAATGAGAGCATATAACATTCTGACTTTACTAAGATTGTAGTTGATTGTAATAGATGGCGGTATACGTCAACAAGACATACTGACTACCTATCAACTATCACATTTTCATAAGAAATCATTGAGTATACCATATTTTTGACGACTACCATGCTAATTATTTTTCTTTCATTGAATATTTTCCAGAAGATTCACTATAAAATATCATATAATAGTATGGTAAGAATTATAAACATTTTCATTTCTGAGATAATTTGAACAAACTAATTTTTGTGGAAATTAATGGTTGATGTTTCGTCCGTCACTGGTAAGTAACAAATAATTACAGAAACACAAATTGATGTCTATTCCACATGCTATGTGGAATAGACATGTCTATTCCACAAGCTGACATCTAGTGAGTAATAGTCGAACATGTCAGTCGAAGAAAAGTGGGCGTAAGAATACTTTCCGAGCGACACAAAATGCCTGTAGGCTATTGGCTGAAATTATCAAGCCTTGTAAACAAACATTCCCACTCCACACCTAAATAGTTCAGAAATTCATAAAATAGTAAATCAGCTGTGTGTTCCGAAGGTAGTAGCTTTGTTCGCATCCTGTGATAATCAATATGACTAATAACGGGTAAAAATGTTGTGTATTCCTGTACCATACTTTATTTCACTTGTAACATTTTTTCAGACCACCAGAAACAAAACTCATTGTTGAAAACTTGCTGGAGTCACCAGATTATGATGGAATAATTTTAGTGTCATCTCCTGATCAAAAACTGAAGTGTTCACAGCTACAGAGTGTTATTTCCGATGCACTAAAATATGATCCTTCTCTCAAGACCGAACTTGTAATACTACCTATTAGCCTGCCGGCTGCAAGACTTGTTCACTCTCCTACCGGACCAATAGATGTGGATTACGATGACGTAAGAATTTTTAAGAGTAGTGCCTCTGATGCTATAAAGAGGGCACTTAAGGCGGGGATCAAAAAACCACTTTTAGTCCTTGAAGAACACCCCCGATTTGAACATGCTGAATTAGTAACTCTTTTGGGAGCTTTGGAGGCTTTATATGTGGTAAGAAAAAAAATTAAAATCTACCAATATTTTTCCATATAAATGAACAGAGGTTGAACAAATAGAGACCATGAAACTTTATATACCTTGTCTGTTGAATGTTCTCCATAATTTGAATTTTAATGTGTCAGCATATTCTATTTTTGGACAATATTTATGCGACCTTGTGTGACTGGACACAAGAAGATATAACAGAACAAAACCAAAACAATTTGAATATAAATAACTAATAAATTGATATAACTGCTCCAAAAAAGTCATTGAAATATTATTTATTAATTGAAACCGTGAATACTGTAATTATTCTCAATGCAAATATCATGTTTTCAACTAATGAAAATTAAAAAAGAATTACTTTCCCCAAAATTTGATGGTATATATTCTGAAATACTGATAATCCTTAATAACAAAGTATTCTAGGTACTTATGTGTACTTGCTATTGAATCTGTAAAGGCTTCGTACCCTGCTGTGTTTACAATCTCTAGCCATAATGTCTGCAAATACTTTACCTACCTACCCAAAATAGGGCTAAATATAACAGGGAGATCAAGGCAACAAAGACATTCGAATTCATAGTTTCTAAGGATTATTCTTGTTGAATCCAAAATTTCAGAATGTTCTATTTCCATATTACCAGAAATAAATGGACAGAGCGATTTTTTTGAATTGGCAATTTTTGAATGTATGAAAAGTGCCGTTAAATGTTGTTTTGGGTATATAGAAAATAATAACTAACTCATTGTGAGTGTGTGTCAGAACACAAACATACTGGATGGTTTGCCCACTCGATAGCACGCCACGTATAATTTGTCTGTGTGAAAAACGTGGTGTGCTCATATTCAAGCCACAAACGGACATTGTTGAGCCTAGAGACTTATTAATAGTCATTGCAAATGCCGATCTAATTGAAAATTGCGCGTTTGAAATTAATTGGCACATCTGTAGGTATAATAGGAATTCGTGAAATTGAAACATTTTCACCACGGACTTTCCAATCCAAATGATGGCTTCGACAACATTTTTTATTAATTTTCTAATGGCTAATTGTGTACAGTTGCACAGCCGTGTTGGATTCGAATTATGGAACGATCCAACCTTCAGTTGTAAATTATGCGGTGGCATTCCTGGCAAATCTTATGAGTTCAAAAACTCATAGATATAATAATTATTATTAAAAATTGAAATTCATAAAGTAATAATCCTCCCATAGCACAGGCATGTTTTTTCCATTATTATGTTTTATATCTATACTTATTATGGTCCTTTTTTATATTACAGCCCTCGATAAAGCTAATAAACATT